TCCTGCTGCACACACCCAAGTGACTTTCTCTGGCTCATCAGCTTGGCTCAAGCCACCTTGTAGAATAACCTTTTAAACACTGGTTTCAGAGTAGCAGCCCTGTTAGTCTGTATCCGCAAAAAGAAAAGGAGGACTTGTGGCACCGTAGAGACTAACCAATTTATTTGAGCATAAGCTTTCGTAGCTCACGAAAGCTAATGCTCAAATAAATTTGTTAGTCTCTAAGGTGCCACAAGTACTTCTTTTCTTTTAAACGTTGCTTCCCCAAAGGGGCAGTGGGTGCCAGACCTGAGCTGAGATCAGTCACCATAGGGTGCTGCTATCCCAGTTTTGGGAGCGTGGCAGCAGAGCCATGATAGGATGTGAACCAAAAATGTTATAAGAACCATAAACATTTGTTGTGACATTTTTGAAGGGGGTTCTGTTTTGGGAACCCCTTGCTCAAGTTACCTTAAGTTTTGAACACTCTCCCCATAAGGTACAGCAATTGACAAGACACTGTGACTGAGCCCGTGGAGCACTTTGAAATAGCATCTGTTAAACAGTAAGCGAGTCTCAGCCTTACTGGTGGTGGGGCAGTACCACCCCTCTGATAACACTGCTGGCATAGGGCCTGGTCAAAACCCCATCCTAGTCAACAGAAAGACTCCCATGGACTTCAATGGGCTTTGCAGCTGATCTTCCACTGTGAAATCCTCCCAGGTACAAGGAAGGATAATGGTGCAGAGTGCAGCCAACCCTCATGCCTGCCCTTTGCAAGCCCTCCCCACACCCTGACCTACAAGCAGTCAGAGTGAGAGCAGAGGGGCTGCTGCTGGACAGGATGGGGGGCTGGAAGCATTCTGCAGAGCTGCTCTGAGCCCCACGGCTGGGTTTTGTAAGTCATTGCTCCGCTCTGTTCCCCATGATGGAGAGGCCATGCAGAGTAGGCCATTTTTAATTGGCATGAACTGGGGTCTATCTGGAGCTGCTGTCAGTCTCTGGTAGCTCCTTGTTGTTGAGCATGGTGATGGCCAAGTTTCCCCTTTATTTAGCCAATCACCATTTAATCCATGGCTGGTAGTTCCTTGCTATGCCTCCAGCCAGGTGGTTAATAGTCTCTGTCTCCCATCTCAGGGCAGAAAAGAGTCTAATAGGTCAGGAGGCCAGTAATCTTAGCAAAGGGTCAACAGACTCCACCTCTTGGGGTTCAGGCCCCACTGACTCCTCTGCTGGGGAACCCAGGCTCAACCACACCTCAGGGGCCCTGTGTGAAGAAGTTGCAACCAGTTTCTCCAAGTGCCTGCCTGCCTCTGACCACACCTGTCCAGCAGGCTGTTTCCCAGACTCATTCTGTGAGCTTCTGCCTCTGAAGGTCCAGCTACCTGGCTAGCTTCCCATAGTCCATTGCTAAAGGGCCCTGATTTCAGTAGTTCCTCAGCCACTGCTACCCTGCAGCCTTTTTCTGATCCCAGCTGTTGCAGAGCCTCTACTCAGCCCCAGTGGAGGAGGCAGCTCATCTCCCTGTTCGCCCTTTAGCAGCTGGGACAGCATGACCGGGTCTAGGCCAAACTGGGTCTGACAATAATCAAAGAGCTTCAGTTCTGCTGCCCACATTTCAGTCAGGGATATCTTTAAATCAAATAGAGCTGAACTTACTTGCTTCCCTCCCTTAACTCCTCACGGCCAGGAAGATATTTGAATTTTAGTAGGTTAAATCATCAGAGGCCATCGGGCAAAGTGTAGCAGGTTGTTCATGCACTGTCTGTGTCAGGGGGATTTGCACGGTTAGCATTATAGGTGGGTCAGACATTAGAGACACTAAGGGGTGCGTGGGTCTCATGCTCTTACCATACATTCCTCCCAGAAAAAGCTTGTTAAATTTTGTTTTGTTTAATTAAAATAAGGGCACCCTGGAGCCCAGAGGAGAGAGCAAATCGCTCTTGTTTGGATGGCACTGGATTGTGAAATGAAGCGCAGCAGGTGGGGCTGTTCTGTGTGGGTTTCAAGAGATTGCTTAGCCAGCTGCTTCTCACAAATGTGGGGCGGCTCTCTTCTTTCTTGCTTCTGAGGCTACATCTACAGCTTCCCACCTCCCACTCCTTTTCCCCCACTGAGCTGTGAAGAATTCTTGGACAAAGATGTTATTGTCTCTCTTACAGTGGGAACCCCGACATGCTGGAGGGCAGGACTGATGGATGATGTGCATCACTCTTGCATTGGTAGAGAACTGTACAGTTGAACACAGCTTGTGCTAATAGTATTAATTCCTGGCTTGCTCCTCTTGGGGTCTGATTTTCCTGGAAGTGTTGTCATTGCCTTGCCCTCTAGTAGCTGAAGACTTGGGGGATATTAATGCTGGAGCCGCCGTCAGCTTATGGACATTCTCCTTTAGCTCAACACTGGATCCACAGTTCAACGCCCAGCAGGGACAAATTCTGTCCCACCTCACTGACCAATATTGTCCTGCACTGCTGACTTCCAGTGAATGCCCCTCTTGGCACAATGAAGATTCTGACTTAGTGACTAGCAAGCTACTGTAACCCACAAAAGCCAACCCACTCCATGCCATTGTTGGTGATGGGCAAGCCATGTGTCCCTGGATGAAGCTAGTTGGAGAGACCCTCTAGAGTGGTTGCCCCTCTGATCATGAGCAGAGTTTAGGCGGATGTTGTCAGGAACCACCAGAGACAGTTATCCTCTGCCTTATCATTTCACAGCATTTCCTTGGCAGGGAGGGAGAAGACCATACTATACAAAGACATTCATACAAGTTAAATAGAGCACTTCATTATTTAAACCTGTGTCAGGTGGCAGCAACTCATGCTCTCATTTGGCACAGCGCTGGTGATCATGGCATAGTTCAATATTCCTGGGACTTCCATTAAAGAGACAGTACCAACTCAATTTAGGCCCCAGATTTAGGGGCAGTACAAGTAATGCTTGACATGGCTTGAGCCCAGTAGAAATGTTTCCAATCATTTATATTTTTAGAAGAAGCAGATTTATTCAGCGTGGAATGAAATGTTCCCCTGCAGCGGTCGCAACCTGAATGCAGTTTGTGCTAGTGTGTGAGAGCCAGACCATGACACTGAACCTGACTGGGAACAAACGCACATGTCCAACCAGTCTATTTGCACTCTCCAGCCCCAGTGAGGAGCCCAAAGTAACTCACCCATGTCTGGGGGGGAAAGCAAGTGAGATTCTGTAATACGTTTGGATCATAACCCAGCTAAGACTTTTTTGTTTCAAACATGATGTAAAACCCAAGTGTCCCTGTTCAGAAAGGGGGTGTTAAATCATAGCCAGCAAACTCAGGGGCATCTGTGAGGATGGCAGTCCAGCGTGGGGGAAGGACAATGCCTGGCCCATAAGAGGCCATGCAGCTGGAGGCTCCAGGAAGCATAAGAGCCCAGATCCTCAAAGGAATTTAGTCTCCTCACTTCCACTGAGTTCACTGGAATACTTTTCAGGCTCTGGGCCAAGGAACTTTCCCCTCACACCGTGTGTGATTCTTGTGAGGGCCAAGGGTCATTGCACAGTGGGGAGAGCAGGGGCCACAGCCACCCCATTGTCCCTGATGCTGCATGGCACCTCAAACAGAGCAGATGGCAGTGCAGCTATGGCACCCTGGAGTAGGACTGGCACCACCAGTGGAGTAAGTTGTTGCACCCCCTACTGGATCCCCTGCTCCTTCCCCTTATGTGCTGGGCAGCTCTGAGCGGTATCCTGCAAAATACCTGCCAGGGCTCTTACAACATACTGCCAGTGCAGCTCTGGGCCATGGACTGTGCCTTAAAGAGCAGGGTATGCTCCTTCAGCTTGATGGCTCAGGAGATTGGCAATGGGCTACCAAGGATTTCATCTCTAGGCTGCGTTTCAAATCCAGCCCAGTTCTGTAGCAACTGACAGTTGTGACCAGCAGCCCGCTGTGCTTCAATGGCCTCTCTGAAATCCCTCAATAGTGAGGAGGGTTAACAGACTGGCACAAGTAAAATAGGCCAGTGCTGAGGTGTTAGCACTCCAGTCCGCTAGACCCTCACACCAACTCCCTGCAGCGTAAAGGGAGGGAATGGGCAGGAGTTCATTAGCAGGGCGTGTGAATGAACGTGTAGCATCAATGGGCAAGCCATGAGCACATGAGCCCCAGCCACTCAGAGTCATTCACAAAGAACCAGCTTAGCTGTTCTCCCCTGGCTTGAAGGGATCTGCGCACTCTGGAGACAATGCAGAAAAAAGCCCCAGATTCCCTAGCAAGAGCAGCTCAGCTTTAAATGATCTCATACACTTTGTTCTGACAGCACCTGGTTCTACTCTGAAAAGGGACTGTGTCCAAACAGCATCATCTTACTGAAATACCAGCTCCCCATGTGAGTTGGGAGTCCGCTCCGCCAGCGTCAGAGGAGACAGAAATGCGATGTCGCTGCTTTTCATTCCTGTTAGTGGGGCTGGCTGGCTCATAGTTAGAAATAAACTTGGAAACAGAGCCCATTTGATCTGGGACCCCTGGGAGCAGATATCCAGGGACCCAGGCCAGTCAGAATCACTTATCATGGTTGAGCCAGACTATATGAAACCCCCTTACCATCTAGAACGTGTCCAAAACCTGCCAAGCACCTAGAGTGTATAGACTGAGCATTGGTTCCCTCTGGTTTTTAACCTGTCGAGATGGTTGCCTACCAACCTATTCTCAGTCCCAGGCATGCAGGCGGGAGGCCACTTTCCAGGAAGAGCAGGGGAAAGGTGGGCATGGAGAGACAGCGCTGCCCTCCCCGTCTGCAAACCAGGGACTGAATGAGCTGAGCGTAGTAGAGTCTCCGTGCCACTGAATGAACACACACACCACAGTCAAGCATGAGGATAGCCTGGAGGAGGTACTCATAAACACAGCTGTTCTAGCAAGCACACAGACATGGATTGTACCACTTCAAAGGCAGGGGTGGGCAGCCACAGGTAGACCCCCCTCCCCTGCAGTTCTGATGGTCTTAGCATCACCTACTTAGTGGCTCTCAGTGCAAAACTCATCTGCAAATGCATCTGAAAGTGGTGCAGACGAGAGGCACTGAGCTACCTTGGGCAGCCTGGGAGCTGGGAAATCAGTGCAAGCCAGAGTGGACCCACCCTGGGAGCTGGGTTAGCAGGTGCCTTGATATTCCAGGTCTCAGCTTTAAAAAAAAAAAAAATTTGAAGGACAGCACATTAAAGTGGTCAGGGCACTGCTGGGAGGAAAAAGGGGGCGCAGGGACAAGCTCACGGCCATGGCTGCAAAACCCCTCTGGTAGGTGAATCCATCTCTCTCTCTTTCTTTCTCTCCATTCATTTTCCTGCTGGGTTATTTTATTACATTGTTTTTCTTCAAAGGCGAAGGAGCGAGGGCTGCGCTTGAAACCTTCAGGATTCACCTGTCGGAGCTTGCACAGCATCAGCAGTTCTCTTCCAGCTCCTGGCCCAAGGGCAGCTGAGAATAAGATGGGAGAGGGATATTACCCCATCCATCGGCAGAGGGGGAGGGGAAGGGTGAGAAAGAGGTGCAAGTTTTTCAACGACCCAGGATGTTTCTCTCTTTCTCATATATACACACACATCCGGCAGATAGAGGCGATTTCCACCCCGCCACTGCTCTCTGTCCAAGTGCTGTGCATAGTAAGTGAGTTTAAGAGCCAGGAGAAATTGGAAATAAGATTTACACAGAGAAGGGGCCGGGGAAATTAGCTGCATAGATCGGTGGTTGAGTATGCTGTGATATAGAGCGCAAAGGGGGAGCCAGGGAGATTACCATCCTCTCCTCTAAACTGTCTCTTTCTCTTCCCTGGTTGTGAACATGCCATAACTTCCTAGACTAGGCAATGCATTTTTCCTTCCTCTATAGATTTTTCCCCCATCCCGGTGCAGTTTGCATTATCATTTGCTAAATATATGATGACACTCTGGCCATAGCTTCCTGACCTTTGTATGACTTCCTCCCCCATAGGAATTGCAGATACGTTTCTGGCTACAAACAGCTTTTTATTGATCTCCCAAGTGAGGGTGTAGCAAAAAATCAGGGACAACTGTTTTTAAAAAAATTATTACTTGATGTGAAAATAATGTTGTTTTCTTGCTACGTTTAAGCAACTTGTCGTTAAACATTTGTCTTCTAGGGACCAGATTCTGATCTGATTCCAATTTTATACCAATGTAACTCTATTAACTTCTGTGCCCTTTCTCCTGATTCACACCAGGTTTTAAATAAGCTCAGATTCTGGTCCTGAATATCTTTCATGGACACAAGAAATACTTAATGTTGATTTTTTTTTTTTAAACAAGGAAAATCATAAGTCCCTCTAAACTTGAGCAATTATTGTTAAAACAACAGCTCTTTAGTTTTGGTTTTTCATACAATAATCTAATTCAGAGAGAACCTTAGCACATAGCAATTTTCTTTTAAATAATTTTTCTTCTTTCCACCTTATATGGAAAAAGCTGGGGAATAGGTGAAATAAGAATGAAAGAAATAATTTTTAAAGAGATGAGATATTTGTTTGTTTCCTTTGTACGCTTGCATGAAATAAGATTCTGCTGAGTAGCACAGGATCTGGCTGTTCCAGCTGGTGTGTAGTGTAGAGCATGTGTAGTATTCAAATCTGTGTTCTTCCCTGGGAAAAAATTCTAGAGAAGCTCATCCAGAGGGACAGATGTGGTGGTGAAAAGCACAGAGGTTGTTAGTGGATAATGGTATTCCAGAGTTTTCATGCAGCTGTCCCCTTAAAAACCATACACCAATGGCCACAAACACTCTAGCTGCCGCTGCTGTTAGGCTGAGGTTAGAGCTATTCTGTAAGAGATGTGTGTGGAGCAATGGCAGAGGAGCTAGGGGATTTCCCACTGGAAAACGGGAGACTGCTGAGGGTCATTTTGTGCATTTATAATATCACCCCAGGCAAAAATCTTCATTATGCCTGGCCTTTAGGGGGAAAGAATCTGTCCCTGCATTCAAAGTGCCCTTTAGAGAACACTGTACTCTTCTCAAACCCACGTGTGTGAGACAAGCACCTTGAGAATCCAAGAGAAGGGCTTGCTTTACAACAACGTTCCAAAGTACAGGCCTGCAGAGTCACCCAAACAACCCTAACTCTGCTCCTCCAGAAGCACCATACTTAATAACAAGGACACCCAGAAAGAGACAGCAGTATCCATCCATCACATAGACTCTTGACCACAAAAGTACTGATATCTTAATGAGCCCATGTGATCGATGGGTGAGGTTGGATCACACCAACCCACTACCATGGCCAGAGGTGTCTGGCCACAGACACTTTACAAAGTGATAGTGATGCCTTGGTAAGCATGCATCAAATCGATGGGTGTATATAATACAGGTGTTCTGGAATGTACAGAAGTGTCTTACCCAGGTGTTGCCCCTCAACCCTGCCTCCTGACACAAAAAAGCTCACCTGAGTTTAGTGATGCTTTCAGCCCTGACTAGCTGGGGCATGGATTCCTTTTCCTGGGTTCCTTTTCCACTTGGGCTGATGATCCGCCAGCATTGCAGCGAGGAAGCAGGCTAAATTACGTGAGTGCTGATAGTCCTCCACTATTTCCCCCATGTACCCAGAAGGACAGACAAGTTCTCCCACAATTCACTGGGAAAGACTCATGCAGTAGCTCAAGTTTCTGCAGCACACAGAACCCTGGGGGTGTTTCCCATAATTCCTAGCAGCGCACAGAAGGGAGTGGGGACCAGTGAGTGGAGCTGTGTCAGGAATTCTTTTGTAAAAAGAAATTGTGTCAAAAAATGCAAATTCATCAAACCTGAAACTTCCCGCAGGATCATGTTATTTTCAATGACTTATTTGATATAGGAAGGCAGATTAGGGGGGAAAAGTTTTGGAAAATGTCGAAATAGCCCATTTCAACAATTCTGGAAGGAAACAGTCCGACTTCGGGTTCGCAGCGACTTACCTTTTGAACTCTTATTTAATTTTTAGTTACATTTTTAAATGGAACAAAATGAAATGTTTCAAAGTTATCAACATTTTAAACATTTTAAAAGATCCAAACCAGCATTTTTTTCCAGGGTTTCTGTTCAGGCACATTTTCAAGATTTTGACTGCCCGTCCCAGTTCAGGAGGGGAATATTTTTCAAATGCTCTAAAATCCCTGTGGGTCAGGAAAACCATTTCCCACCCAGTTCTGTCAGCAAGAGCACAATACACAGAACACAGTAATTTGGGTTCAACTTTGTAGTGTGGCTGCTCACACCTGGGCTAGGCTAACCTAGGTGCTCAGTCTACCTGGGGGCCAGCCACCTAGGCTAACTCTGCAGTGAAGGCACCTGTCACAGCTGGGTCATGGGCAGCTCAGACTTAGTGGTCAGAGCTGGAGTCCACAGTCATGAGACAGGAGTCGAGAGTCTGCTGATTCAGGCTACCAGCAGGTCAGAAGTAGGAGACAAACTTGAGATCAGAACCACGAATCGGTAACCAGAGTCAGGCCAGGTCAGGATACCGGGAGGTCAGAGGCATGAGACAAACTGGTGATCAGAACCACAAGTCAAACACCAGGAGTCAAGTCGGGATGGGATGCCAGGAAGTCAAGCTCAGGGAGCAGGAGCAGGGTGGACCTCCACTTGTTCAGACAGATTCCTGTTCCTGCTGCTGGCTTAAGTAGGGTCAGCAGGCCAATCAGCTGCTCTGGGACTCCACCAATAGGGTTTTAGGGGTGGAGCCTCAGACTCGGGCTGGGGTTGATGGGTCCTAGGTAAGCAGTTATCAGCAGGCTGCCAAGTGGAGTGCATGGAGAAGGTCTGATCCTGCAGACTAAGGTTCAAGGCTTAGGGCTCATGACAACACCCTATGTGATAGCATCAAAATAACTGCTATCTCTCCCCCAAAACCAGCCCAAAGCATTTTTCCTACCAAAGGGCATCGGCATAAATCCAGTCTGATGTTTGTACACTGAGAGAGAATGAGGCAAAAAGCCATTGGAAAAATGGTCTGAAAGTGCATAGGTGAAATCTATAGCCTCAGCATCTCCAAAATGCCTTTTGTGAGTTTTGTCCCAACCTTTCCAGACGTAGTCTCCCTCAGGATGAATTGTGGCATGTAAAATTTCAGGTGGTTTGGATTGTTTTAGAGGCAGTTTGTTTGTTGGTATTAAATTGGCTTTATAGCTGGGAAGGAAGGAAGGGAAAGGAAGAAGAGAAAACCAGCTATAAGTCAAGTCACTTAATGCACTACTGGAAGGGCTCAGACACTTTGGTGATGAGGGGAGGCTAAGGAATAGACGAGAATCTCTCCATAAAAATACAGCTTTGCTGTAGCCCCCTTCCATTTGAACATCTCCACCTTTCAAATGTGAGGATCTAAATCTTTTATAACTGATTTAGGATCCTCTGGTACATTCCAAGACCCCTGATCTAGCACCATCTGTCACGGAGGCAGGCAAAGCCAAGAAGAGAGATCTTTGCCTCCTTTGAGGGGTATGTGAAGCCCTCCCAGACTGCTTGGGCTGCTGCTGGTAGCCATGCCTGGAAGCTAATTGCTGAAACTGCTCCTTGTGGCTTTCCTGTGAGGAGATCATAGAATCATAGAATATCAGGGTTGGAAGGGACCTCAGGAGGTCATCTAGTCCAACCCCCTGCTCAAAGCAGGACCAATCCCCAATTAAATCATCCCAGCCAGGGCTTTGTCAAGCCTGACCTTAAAAACTTCCAAGGAAGGAGATTCCACCACCTCCCTAGATAACGCATTCCAGTGTTTCACCACCCTCCTAGTGAAAAGGTTTTTCCTAATATCCAACCTAAATCTCCCCCACTGCAACTTGAGACCATTACTCCTTGTTCTGTCATCTGCTACCACTGAGAACAGTCTAGAGATGATTGAACCTCCCTTAATGCTGTAGTTCTTGGGGTCTTTAACGTCTCTAAAGCCTCGTCTGTCTTAGCACCAAAGACAGCAGTTCCTTCCAGAGGCAAATCCAGTATTTTTTCTTGAACCTCTGTGAAAAGACCTGAACTCCTGAGCCACAGATTTCACCACAGATTAAAGGACGCTTCAGAGTCAAAGGGCATCCAGGTGAGTCTTAGCCTGTATCCCCCCATGTGGGCCAGATAACCGTTCCTGTGGGATCGTATGCCTCCTCTTTGTACCCCCTCCCCACCGTTGGCTGCACGTCTCAGGGAGGAAGGCTCTGTTCCACCCCCATCATCCCCGGTCGAAGCCCCCTGGCATTACAGCTACTGCTCCTGGAGTTCCTGCCCCAGGCGCAGCTGAGAGCAACTTTTCCTCCTTGGCTGCTGCTCATTCCGCTCCTGGGCAGGTGTTTAGAAGTGGAGAGTGTGTGGCTGAGGGTGCTGAGCTCCCTGTCTTGCTCCTGGCTTTGCTGAGCATTGAGATTGCTCAGGGGACGCCCAGCACCTCACAGAATCAGGCCTTTCACTTTACGGTAGAATGAAACAGGAAAAAACGGGGCCCTGACTATCGGCATCGCGCACCTCAGAGCACTAATGGGCATGGAGCGGTTCGTTCTCCCCAGCTAACCTACATTTCCACAAAGCTTTCCTAAGGGGGTGGGGGGCTGGAGAGGAGGGAAGACGGTGGTTGCCATGGTTACTCTGCTATCATTAACTCCACCAGGAACCTGCCAGGGGTTCTGGGTCTCATCTGCGGGAGTCGCCGCTGCTCCATTACAGTTTGCATGCTGTAATTAAGCAGCAAGGGGATCACATCTGCTGACACAGCGGCTGCGTGAGTGGCAGGAACCTCCAGCTGCTCACTGAGTAGTGAGGCTGCTCAAGAGCTATGGGCCTGTCACATGCAGACAGCGCTACCTGTGGCCAAAGTGTCAGGCTGCCAGTCCCCCTCTCCTGCAGGACAAAGTAATCCAGGAGGTCACACAGGCAGACTGTGCCTAGAATAAACGGACGGTTCTTTGATGTCCTGCACATGCAGCTGGGAATCCCGGTACAGGGGGAAACGGGAGAGTCCTTCCAACTTTTGCACAAGCATTACCTGGGCAAGGCAAAATCTCTGAGCGGGCAGCTATGCTGATGCGACACTGAGAGTGTGGCTTGAGGATGCCGGCTCAGACTCTCCTATGTTTACATGTATTCACTACATGAGTCTATTTCAGGGAGAGCTGGTAGCTCTGTGGATTGGCAGATAGCTGGCTTATAGAATTTTTCACCTCTAGGGTGCTAGTTCAAATACAAGCCAACAGTGACTGCAAGTCATCACCAGCTGATGTCTGTCTGTTGGGGTGGGCAAAATGAATTCAGTGACCTCAGTGGACAAGTGTCCCCATCGTAGGGCCCACCAGGCCAGTTGGCCTAACTGCCCTGTGATGGCTGGCTCATGCCACCTTTGTGGCTTGTGAATCCCAGGGGCCAGCAAAGAGGAACTTTCACATTTGTAAACCCTGACAACTGCCATCCGCAGCAGCTGGAGCTCAGAACCCAATCCCCCCCTACCCCCCCCCCGCCCGCCCCCAACTCCAGGCCCTGCAGCTTGTCATCTTCTTCCTCGCTGTTCTGTGCAGAACACGGTGGCTGCACCACTGCCTTCTATTTTGCTGGTCTGCTGCAGTGTTAGCTTCTTCCCAAGTCGTTTTGATAGCTTTCAATTCTGCCTCTATTGTGTGTTTCCATGTTATCCTTGGTCTAGTCACCTCTTGATCTGGGGGTTCTCGTCCACCTGCCCAGGTATGTTGTTCTGCTCTTTCCTCCATGTATGTCCTAACCATCTCCATTTTCAGTCCGGAATTTCCTGCCTATCGGTTTCTGTTTCGTCCTCCTCCAGAGTGAGTTTTTCTGGCCATCTGATGCTGAGATTTGGCTGCAGAATCTTGTTTCAGAAAAGCAGGAATTTAGATAGGAAGAGCTTACTAGGTTCCTTGCATACACTTATGTTATACTGGCCCCACACCACCTGTACAAGGGGAATTCTCAGCCCAGAATTGGGGGGTCAGAATCTCCTCACTCCCCAGCTGTTTTATTCTAATTAAGGCAGCCACTTGTTCTTTTCTCCCTGAACCAATCGTGTCTGCTGCTCTGCTGAGTAAATCCTGCCTCGTGGGAGCCAGGCAGGTTCCTCATCAGTTCGGCTAATTAATGACGGGTTTAATACACTTTGCAGTTCTGAGGGCAATCGCCTCTCTCTCTCTGACAGCAAACTTCAGGACAGTTTCTCCCTCCTGCCCCCTAACCACCCTCCCTGCAGAGATAATCTTAGGGAAGGCTCACAGGAAAAGGCAGGAGGGGAGCAGCCCCTGGTGCAAACATTGAGGGGACGGGGGAAGAGCTGATGGATGGGGTGGCTGAGGTATTAAAATAAAGGCTACCCCTAATAGAATATGAACTTGCTGCCCCTGCAGAACAAGGCAGAGGCTTCAACCACAGGGCTGCACAAACTGTGCTAACAAGGCTTAAATTAGATATAGGTGAGCTCAGATTTTCTTCTCTAAGGGCCTGCTCCTGAAAGGCATTCTCCACTCCCACTGACTGGGGTGAGAGCTGAGGACCCTCAGAGCCTGAGAGGGGGCTCTTGGCACCTTGCACAGGGGGCAGGGCTTTGGAAAGAACACAGACTAATGGGGTTTGCAAAGTAGTTTGTGAATCATCCCAGCGGGACCCATCCCACTAACCCCTTTGCTTTACAGAGTTGGCGTGCCCCTGTGTCTGGTGATCTAGTCAGAGCCTTGGTGGTACAGGGCTATGCTCAGCAAGCCCCTGAACACTGGTGGGGCGGCATTCCAGTTGGTGGGTGGTTTGGTTCCTGCCCTAGTAGATCAGCAGGGCCTTAGTGGCTTGGGGGCAGGCAGGGCAGAGACAGCCTAGCGCTTAGCAGCCTGCGTGAATTGCAAGCTGATCAATGACCCCAGCGCCAGAAGAAGAGCATCCCTCGCTCATCCATGCACATTTAAATTGAATTGCTCTGCAAATGAGCTTACTTAGGAGGGCAGCCTGTGGCGCAGAGGCAATTTGCAAACTAACAGTTCCCTTGGGGAGCCCTTTTCCCGCTCCAGGCCAGGGAGAACAGCAACGTTTGAGACCAGACAGATGCTTTGCCACTAGCTCCCCGTGAAGAGAAGCGACACCCTGAAACAAGAGAGCCAACCCAGAACAGGGTTGTATTGTGCTTTCTGTAGCACCATCCCCGTCTGCAGGGCTTCACAAGCACTCAGAGATGCAGCCTTTGCCCTGGGATGCTGACGCTAACTCAGAGTGAAAGATTAGGGTCAGGTGTGGGCGCAGCTGGTGTCAGAGAGGAGATGGGAGGTGGTGAGGCAAAGGGAGGGAGTGTATCTCAAAGAGGTGAGATGGGGCAGTTAGGGGGCACCAGATGGGGAGGCCTCCTCAAGCACGGGGAGCAAGGTAACAAAGGTGAAAGGGCCCATGGGAATTAGTCACCTAAATGCCTATGAGGATCTGGGCCAAGGTCCATTTGTGGGAGGAGGAGCTAAAGGGAGCACTGCAGAAGGGGGCTGGGTGGGGAGCAGAGCTATAAGGGTCATGCGTTCGTACAACTCCTCAAAGGGGAGGAAGAGCAGCAGAAGCAGATCACTGAGAGGGCTGGGAAGGCATCCCCATCCGCCCATGAGCTAATGTGCTGTAATTAGCTAAGTGCCTGGTGGTGGGGAGGGAAGGATGCCTGACTGGAGGGAGGGATGGTTTGCTGAGGTATAGATTACCTGGCCTTCTCTTCCCCTGCCAGGCCCAGTCTGGGATGAGCTGTCAGATTCCTGCCCACATTCCTGGACTGACTGACTCTCTTTTCCACCCTTCTTACAGCGGAGTGGAGCAAACTGCAGTGAGGCCCAGCTTGGGCAGGTTCCTGGCATGGAGCTCACCGGCCTTCAGGCGACATAAGTGCCCCATGCACCACACCATGTTGCTGTTGCTGCTCCTGTGCCCCGAGCTGCCTAGGGGTCATAACCTAAAGCCATCCTTGCCCCCCATTGTGCCAGACCGGCCCTTTCTGGTGGCCTGGAATGCGCCAACGGCTCGGTGCTGGACTTCCTATGAGGTGCCCCTCAGCGTGGCTTCCTTCAGCCTCCTGGTGAACGCGCAGGAAGACTTCACAGGCGGCAACGTCACCATCTTCTACTATGACCAGCTGGGTCTGTACCCCTACTACCTGAACACCACCACGCCGCCCGTGGCCGTCAATGGCGGCTGTCCCCAGAACGCCAGCCTGCTGGACCACCTGGACAAGATGGCCAGCGACATCGCCGCCACCATGCCCTCGGCCTCCTTCGCTGGCCTGTCCGTGATCGATTGGGAGAACTGGAGGCCCCAGTGGATCCGGAACTGGGACAAGAAGAACGTCTACCGGGCCATGTCCGCCCAGCTGGTGAGGCAAAGGAACCCACGCTGGCCCGACGAGCAGGTGGAGCTGGAGGCTAAGTGGGAGTTTGAGACGGCTGCGGCCAGGTTCATGGTGGAGACCCTCAAGCTGGCGCAGTTGCTGCGCCCCGGCGGCTGGTGGGGCTACTACCTCTTCCCCGAATGCTACAACTACCACTACTGGGATGACTTTGAGAACTTCACTGGGGGCTGCCCCCAGGTGGAGGTGCAGCGCAACAACAAGCTGCTGTGGCTGTGGGAGCAGAGCAAGGCGCTCTACCCCTCCATCTACATGGAGGAGGTACTGAGAGCCTCCCCGCAGGGCAAGAAGTTTGTGCAGGCCAAGCTAAGTGAAGCTCTGCGTGTGGCTCAGCTGCCCTCTGCCAACCACTCCCTGCCTGTCTTCGCGTACGCCCGGCCCTTCTACAGCTACACCCTGAAGGAGCTAACCCAGGTGAGATACCGTCCCTCCTCCTCCTTCCCACTCTCTGGGCATAGCAACCCCTGCAACTTGTCAACAGTAGGGAGCAAGTCCAGGACCTTCAGCCCTGACGGCGCTGGGAAGGAGCAGGTCACTGCTTTGTGCATCAGGCAGGCCTGGGGGAACGGGAAGGGACCATCAGGAATTTAATTCCATGTGAAGAGTTTAGCTTCATGTGATGGGGTTTCCCCCCTAGCCGTTCCCCTGTCCCCATCATGGCTGATCCCACATTAAATGCCAGCCACTGTGAGCAGGGTTCCAGGATGCTTGCACTGCACCACCATGGGGTCAGGGATCCTTTTTAAATTCTGCTATCCCCACTAATGACTAACTCCCAGTCCTGGCTTGGGCATGAATCCCTACTCGACCCCAACTAGCAAACACCACTTGCTAGGAGGATTCCAGCCATCCCATGGGCCTGGCCTTAGCCTTTGCATAACTGAGCTAACAAAGGCGGTGGTTACCCCCAATCCTGCACAGTGCTAGGGATCAGCGTGAAGCCAGCAGGATTGAGGGTAACCACCACTCTGCCTCTTAGCAACCTGACAATGCAGAAGCCCCAGCTGCTGCCTAAGTAAGTTTCTTGGCTTGCACTGGGGAAATTCATCAGAAATTCCCTTGATTCGGCTGGAGCTGTTTCTACCACCCTTTTGCTTAGCTTTGTTTTTCTGCATGTTTTTTAACTCAAATGGTGTTAAAAGTGATTCCAGTCTTGTTTACACTGCAGCTTTGCCAGAAGTCTAGGTGAGCATCAGTGGGAACGTTCGATTAAATACAGTAGCCTCTGTGTAGACCCAACCTGTCTATCTAGGGTTCTCCATTTGCTCCCCCTCAGTCCCTGTCCATCTGCGGTCTCACACATGCTGCAGACTGTCAATCTTTCAGAGCTGAGGCGGGGGGAGAGAGAGTATAAAGATGGATGGTCAAAGTGGGGCAATTAACATAAGATCCCTTGCTCCGCCAGCCCTCACCCTAATCTTCCACCAAGCCTCTCTTGCTGTTTGATAAAGTTAATCTAACAGCATTTAAAGGCTGGGACCAAGAGCGGAAGAGCCAAAAGCAGGCCTTCCAGGGCTCACGAGCTTTCCAGCTGAATCTTTCAGGCCCAATGCATTGGACAAACAGCTGTCTACACGGAAGCTCTGAATGGGTCAAGGTATCGCTAATTACAACCGGCTAAAGAATGCGCTCAGGGGGATCAGCAGGGTGCTACAGAACCATTTACCTTCAGGTTACTGGTTCAAATCTGGAGCAGACAGGGACTGACCCAAAGCTGTTCCTAGTTTTCCACCCTGGAACGCCACAGAGCGAACGGGCTACGGAAGCTAATCTCCCCCCTCTTTCCTACTCATGGCCCCTTCAACTCCTGGCTCAGGCACAGCTGCGGGCTGCCATAGGGAGCCTTGCGCACCTCTGCTGCCCCCTCTGCCCCTGTCCTGTGGAAAGCGAGCTCCTGTTTCCAGCACGGTTGCTCACTCACCCTCCGTAAATTCACATGAGTACTTGTCCCGCCCCTGCATACAGCGTTCTACACACTCAGTCAATGCTTAACGCCTATTACCCCACGCTCCATTTCCCAGCACTTTGCCCGGACCCTGGCTCGGCCCCGTCGTGCTTTCATGCTGCAGTGGGGGCTAGAGCTAGAATAAGGCCAGCTGCGCGGCGTGAGCCGTTGTACACCGTACAGCAGCGCCGTTAGAAACCCCGATTCTTCATGGGCACCTGTCACTGGGTCTTAAAAACTCACTCCAGGCTGCAACCTGGAGCCCTTCTGCCTTTCCCTCCCCTGAGGGCCCAAAGTGGTTTGGACTCGCACTCCGAACAATGAAAGGGAGGAGGCCTAGCTGATATCCTGCCCTAGAGGGGGCTATCACAACCCCAGAGAGGGTCCTGCCCTGACCACCACTGAGCACTTGCCAGGCAGTAACCCCCTACACAGGGCCTCGCTGCTGTTTGGCAGCAGAACAGGGAAAGGAACTGAGTCACCTTGATGCTCGTGGGCCTGGCTTTGCCGGACTCTCTCAGCTGCCCAGCCAGCTTCTCTGTGCTTGGTGTTCTCACTGGGCTGCTGGTTTCTCTTGTTGCAGACAGACCTGGTGTACACAATCGGGCAGGCAGCAGCCATGGGGGCTCACGGGATTGTCCTCTGGGGAGGTGTGGAATATTCTCGCAACCAGGTAATAAAGGCTGCTTGTGGAGTTACCATTGGCTGTTTGCGCGATTTTGGGGGGGGGGGAGACGACAAGGGGCATGCATGCACACCTGCATCTGGGATTGGGGCCCTTTACTTGCCCCCCAAATGAACACCCCATAGCTCCTCCCTGCCTTAGCAGCAGTGGGCTGGATGCACCTCCCCCTGAGCACTGCTTTTATGTACATTTGAGCTGGCCCTAGGAGTGCTTGGGGCGACACGGGGCAGATCCAGCTTCCAGCAGTGGCAGCAAACTGGCCAAGGACTGAGTAGGCTGTTGAAAGTGAGCTCCCTGCACCAACGCTCCCTACTCTTAAGGGCTGAGGTGGGGCCCGGCACCTGCCAGCTAAATGCCAGTTGTTGCTAGAAGGTGGGTGAGGGTTTAAGGTAACATTTTTTTCACAAGAGGCTGGCCTGAGACCTGCCAGCTCATCACAGGGGCAAGCAAACAGCTCTTGGAGGTTAACTGCAGCCTGGTACACCGATTTGGAATTGGAGCAGACAGCTTGCTGTGAAGGGAACTACAGCCCATTAAATAAAAAGAGAAGCTGGTGTTTTGCTTAAGGCACTGAACTAGGCCTCAGGAGAGCTGGCTTCAATTTCCAGGGCAGTTACAGAGACCCCATGTAACCTTGGGCAAGTCACTTAATCTCCTTGCCTCAATTTCCCCTCTGCAACCTGAGGATAGCAGCACTGCCTTTGGCTGTCTTGTCTATTATTAAATTCTTCAGAGCAGGGCCTGGCAAGTTAGCTTGGGATGATCTATTTGCCATAAACCCACGCTGATCCCCTCTTTTTAATTCTTTATTAACAGAGTATACAACGGCCATTCGCCCAGAATTGAAGTCAGGCTGACAGGCCTACAATTATTCAGCTCATCCCATTAACCCTTCTTCAGTACGGGCATAACAGTAGCTTTCTTCCAGACCCATGGAGCTTGGTCCCTGTTCCAAGATTTATTAAAAATCAACAATGGATGCAAATGATAAAGAGCTGCTGGTTTAAAGATGTCTAACTTTAGTAGTTGCTGTTTAACATCCTCCTTAATTGCTTGTTATTAGTCTTCCAGCAGCAACAAGAGGCCTCAGCTGGATCGCTATGGGCTCCTGCGCCCAGTTGAGGTCTTTTAGGTACTCCTAGCAGACTAACAACAACAACCCTGAGGAGAGAAATTAAAAGTAATTTACATTTTCAAATGGGATTACTCAATTCCACAATTGAGAAAGAATACACTGCTTTAAAAAAAAAAAAATCTAATAACAAATAGGAAAAAAAGAAGGGACGGTGATAGCAATTAATGTAAATTAGAAGCCAGACATTTTAGAAGATTGATAAGGGAAGCAAAAAAACCATGAGAGGAAATCTATTGCCAAAAGAGTTAAGGACAGCAAGGAGATTTTTAAATATCAGGAACAAAAGAAATCTTAACAATGGTATTCAGCTATTACTAGGTGGAAATGGTAGAATTGTCAATAGTAATGCAGAAAAGGCCCAACTATTCAAAAATATGTCTGTTCTGTATTTGAGAACAAGCCAGATGATGTATTGATATCAGATGATTATGGAATACTTTCCATTCTAAATGAAGGCGGCTATTGAACAGCACCCCCTAAAGCCAGGCACTCTTAAAATCAGCAGACCCAGCCCATTTCCACCCAATACTTTTAAAAGATCTCTCTGGACCCTTAATGTTGATTTTTTAATGACTCTTGGAATACCGGGGAAGTTCCAGAAGACTGGACGGAAGCTAACATTGTTTCTGTATTTCAGGGTAAAACAGGGTGACCCAACTAATTATAGGCCTGTCACCCAGAATTTGATCCCAACCAAAATATTGGAATGGCTGATAAGGGACTCAAAGAATTTAAAGGAGGGTAATTTAACCACTGCCCATCAACATGGTTTATGGAAAATGGCTCTTGTCAAACTAACTGGATATTAACTTGATACTGCATTACAAGTTTGGCTGATAAATAGAGTTGATATTCTATACTTAGACCTATGTAAGGCATTTGACTTGGTACCACATAGTATTTTGATTAAGAAATTAGAATGATACAAAATCAGCATGGCACATGTTAAATTGATTAAAAGCTGGCTAGCTGTTTAATTACATTTTGGAACTTGGGAATCATCATCAAGTGGGTTGTCTGTTGTGAGGTCCTGCAGAGATGGTTCTTGGAGTAGGAGGTTATATTACCTTTCTATTTGGCAATGAAGTAATTTCAGTGTGACAGCTACTGGAATACTGTGCCCAGTTCTAGTGTCCTGAATTCAAGACAGATGTGGATGAATTGGAGAGGGCTCAGAGAAGAGCTGCAAGAATGATTGCAGGAGTAGAAAATATGCCTTACAGTGACTGAGCTCCTGGAGTCTGTCTATTTAGCTCATCACGGTGAAGGGGTGACTTGATCACAGTGTATAAGTACCTACAGGGGCAACAGAAATTTAATAGAGGGTTCTTCAACATAGCAGACAAAGCGATAAGATCCAATGGCTGAAAATTGATGCCAGACAAATTCAGAGTAGAAATAAGGCATTTTTTTAATAGGAGGGTAATTAACCATACCAAGGGTTGTGGTGGATTCTCTAGAACTAGAAGTTTTAAAGTTAAGCCTGGATGCTTTTTCTAAAAGATCTGGTCTAGTTCAGTCACAGCTTTTGGACTTGAAGCAAGAATTAATCCAGGGAAGTCCTATGGCCTGTGTTATATGGGTGGTCAGGCAGGATGATCACACTGGTTCTCTTCTGGCCATAGAATCTAGAATAGCACAGCCTGTCTCTGGTGCATAACTGCTTTAATTTTCCTTCTCCAGCCCAACTGTGTAAAGATCCAGAAATACCTGACTGGCACCTTAGGCCCTTACATCATCAATGTGACCAAGGCAACCAAACTCTGCAGCCAGTTTGTCTGCAACAACCATGGCCGCTGCCTTCGCAGGAAGATGGATTCGGACAGCTACCTGCACCTGGACGCGAGCTCCTTCCAGATCCGAGTGGACAGAGCCACCCACGGACCGCATGTGTCCGTGAAAGGAGCCCTCACCACGCAGCAGAGGGACAGGATGAAACAAGAGTTCACATGTCACTGCTACCAGGGCTGGAGTGGGGAACACTGCCATTCCCAGGGGCAGAGCAACCGGCTCTGGGCATGGGACCTGGGCATCCCCATGGTGGTGATGTCTGCAATATGGACGTGGGGCATGTGACCCACTTTTGCAACAAATTATTTTCCATGTGAATTTGTGAAGCCTGTGACATGACGTGAACCCCGGAAAAAGGAATGACAAGGAAGGAGGAAAAACAGCAGCAGGTTCTGTGCATTGGCAAGAGGTCTGGAAAGTTTCCAGACATTTGTGAATCCCACCAGCTCCCATGACCCCCTGTACATGACCCCTCCCTCCGCAAAGGGGGTGACACAGTGTAGATTTTTCCCAGCATTCTTTGCAATATTTGCAGGGTGCTATCACATTCCTCACTTAATTCAGTGACTTTCTACCAGCACAGAAGCAGCTTTAAAAATATTTATGGTGCAAATTTTCCTGAATCACAGCCAGACAAAGAACAGTTTTCTATTGCTCCTTTTTGAAATATCACGCTGGTCAGGATTAGCTGTTTACAATAGAGTTACCAATAGCCACACTCTTGCCTCTTCAAGAACCATAAACATATTTAAATACATTCCTATTTATATGCAGAGTGGACTTATCCTACTCAGATTGTTTTTAGGTGCCTTCCCAATGTGACCGGTGCTATTTTAACTCCTGGATGTGTGTGTGGTGGTGTTCTCCCTCTCTTTAAGAGTGTGGGCTGATTTTTTTTAAATTAAATATTTTCCATGTGAATACCACGTTTGTGGCATACAAGCCTGGCCCCTGACTGCTCCACCTAGCCTGGAAGTGCAAGCTGCCCCAGGAATAATCTCCAGCCTAGCTTGGAGCAATCCCCTTGGAGATGGGCAGCAAAGCTGCTAACTGAAGAGGACTCCTGTCCACTAGGAAGCGCCATGAGACTAGGGAGGAGACTTTCCAAGGGCAGTCAGCCACCCAACTCCCTTTGAATTTACCTCCCTTAGGCACCTTTAAACAGCCCAGCCTAAACTCTCTTCCCACAGGGTACCTTCCCCTGAACAAAGGCTGAAGTGGTTTGAGTCGTGGGAATTCTTTACTCACCTAACCAGGAGATTGCCTCTGACTCCATTTTAGGTAGTCCAGCATCAGAAGACGCTTAGGCCATGTCTACACTATTAAGTTCTGTAGGCTTAACTACATCAGTCTGGGGTATGAAAAAAACACTCCCCCCAGCCGACATAGCTATGCCAGTAAAACCCTCAGCCTAGACACAGCTACGCCACAGCAGATAGCTGCTGCTGTCCTAGCTAATGTCCTTTGGAGAGGTGGTGTTCCAACACTGGCAGAAAACCCCCTTCTCTTGCCATCCATTACAGCCACACGCGGGGCTCCTTTAGTATAGCTATGCCAGGAAAGCATTTACAGCATAGACAAGGCCTCAGTTGCCCCCCACCCCCAAACAATAGCACTGCAAGACTTCCTTTCCCGTTGCAGACTGCCCTGGAGCTATATCACCCCTATGGAGAGTCAATGAAAACATTCCACTTAGTTAACCACAGCTGACACATTTACACCTTCTATCACTCCATGGCATCAGGGTGTGCTCAACATGGGCCAGTCCAGGAGACATTAGGAAGCATGAAGGGGGTCAGGGCAGAAGATACAAGAGCTCAGTCACCCACCCGTGAGATTGAGGCATTTGTCCTTACAACAAAAGAATGGAGGTATCATTTCCCACAGTGCTTTAAATTCTCAGCAGAGACTCAACAGAGCACACAGAGTACAGCTACTCCTCCCCATTAGCCTGGACACAGGCAGCCAGGCTTGGGCCTTGAGCCCGTCTCTTGCTACCACTGCACCTTGTCTGAACCAGGGGAATCACTAATTAGCAGTTGAAAAAGGTTGAAATTAGGGTTGAAAAAGGCAAGCTGGAGATACTGCACCAGTTGAGCTAATCAGTTTATTCCTGCTTGAAAAAGGGGTAAATACCAAATTGGTGCAAACCCTGCCTTACCTTTGTCTACACTTAGAGTTCATCTGGACTCTGATTTAAAAGGGGACAGTTAGACACGTTAGCAGATACATTCTATAACTCTAGAGTAGACGAGACAGCCTAGACTTCAATGTGAGTTAATTGGTAGACAGGAACCCAAGCCTATACCCTCGGATTCAGCTCCACCCATTTAGAGCGTGTTAAAATCGACAGGGTCTTGTCTACACTAGTTTTAGAACATGCTAGCCAGCACCTTTGAATGATGCACCTTCAAACTCTAATCAGCTTGTCCACAGCCAGCTGCTCAAACTGGGTTCTTCCTGAAGGTAAACTCGGTCAGCTCAAATCACGGTTGTATTTTAGTCACCCTGGCCACACCCTTTAAAAGCATGGAGAACTGAGAGTGGAGAGTCAGGTCTGGGCCACCCTTGGGAACTCTGACAGGCACAAGTTTGAGAGGGCATTTGGAAACCCACTGCAGAGGGGGCCCTGCCTCTAGCACAAGCTGGAATCTGCTCCCTCTCTGTGTACTGGAGCTCGCACTTCTAGGCCCAGGCCTTCCAGGAAACTGGAGCAGGGTTAATAATAATAATAATGCAGTGACGTGCTTAGAGCAATTAGTTTGATCCTCCTGGTGTTTTGCTGCCTGAATGCCCAGCCTCCTTTTCCACAAGGATTTCAAATACTCATTTGACCTGGGGCCCATAGTTTTACTACTCACCCATCTGCTCTGGCCCCTCGCCCACTGCCTTCCTCTGCTATAGGACGGCGTTCCCCGCTGCAGACGGCTGAGCCCCGCAGAAGGGCCTGTCCACACTAGCACACTGACTATGCTGGGGGATTGTGTGGGAATCAGAGTGCGCCTCAGCTGTGTTACAGCATGGCATGGGAGTGGAGCGAACGAGTGGTCACAGCCACGCTCCTGCTGAGTTACACATCCTGACCCCGGGAAGCTACATGAGCATGGGACAGTCACACAGGCTCCACCCACAACACTTATGTACAAGGTGACAGTGGGTCTACCTAGGTCTGTATATACAGAGAGCGCAAGCTTCCAGGCTTCCCTCGCAGTGTGGGTGCCATATTAGTGTCCTTTTAATCCTTACATGGTGTCAACAACAGAGCTTCCTCTCAGAACTAAGTGGACAATGGGTGAGCTAGAACAGACTCCAGCTCAGCTACCCATCACTACACCACACAGCTAACGAGTCAAACTAGTCTGGCAGTGCCTCAAGCAGATGTTATGAAAATGCCATTTATAGCCCCTTCTCCGATTACAACTGCACCAAAATAAGTGCCCCAGCCCGCCACCAGCAACCTCAAGTGTCTTAAGCATTCTGTTGTATGGGAACTACAGCAGGGTCAGAACTAGCCCAGTTCTATTTGAACCGCTATAGCCTTTGGGATGCTGCTCTTTAAAGGACAGTTGTCCAGACCCTGAGTTGGACCAAGGGTCCTTGCAGTCTTAGTATCACAAAGCAGAGCCAATGCTTTTTAAAACTGTTAAAGGATAGCTTTGTACAGCCCTCTCCCCTGGGGAAATTGTTCTGTTACAAGTCGTTCAAGAGGAAGTCTCCATGAATCACCAGCGCAATAGCTGTACAGCATCTGGTCTAGGGAGATGACTGCCATGAAAGTGATTCTTCTCCAGCCCAAAGCTGGGAAAGAAAGGCATCATTTAGAGCAAGGAGCTGGGTAGCTGATGTTAGCCTAGTCCAGGAAATAAGTGGATGGAAAGCAGAGCTATAAAAGCCACCAGATCCTTGATAGAGTACGCAGACTTGAAGCTGCAGATACACAGAGCTCTTTGGGGCAGGGAATATATCCTCATATACATTTGTCTAGGGTCTATCACAATAGAGACCCAGTCTTGAGGGGGGCTCTGGTCATTACTGTAATATAAAATATTGAACAAGAGTATCCACCCAGAGACTTTATGACGTGTAAGAGAAGAGTCCTACAGAACGTAGTAGCGAAGGAAATGGAGTTTTTAAATCAACTCACAGAATTCTAAAGCAGGGACAATTTTAAAAAAACTCATCAAGTTCTAGGGGGCAATTTAAAAGCTCTATTGGAAAGACTCAAGTCCCATGGGTTTCTTAGGGTAGTTTCCACCTGGGAACTAGCCCCCTTCTTATAGGTTAAGTAGATTTTTAGAGAGGATGTAGAACAGACATGAATTATCTTGCTTCAACATTGCTAGCAGCTAAAAGTTACCCTGACTAGGAGAGAGAGTTAACGATTATTTAAGAGGGGCAGAGGAGAAGGAACGAGAATTTCCAAAAGTCAGTCTGGTTTGGTTTCTCCCTTCCTATCCTAAAGTTTTCTACTGAGGAATTCAGCTCTGGCAATGTTTTGAAGAAATATAACTAAATTCCATGTTTTTACAGTGACTTGGAAGAAGATGGCAAAATAAACTAGCAAACCTGAGTGAAGCAGCTGCTAGGGGGAGAAACAACGGAGAGTTTATATTACAAATTGCAGCATTACAGTGTAGACTTCAGAACATTCATTTCATCCCTGGGTTACCGTCACTGCACCTAGGGCTTTTGCAAGGTGAATTACGGGCCCGACCTGGCACCTGTCAAGTGTGGGTGCACCAGGCCCTACCCAGGAAGGACTGTGTTAGCGCGAGGCAGGGTGCGATAGCTAGAGATCTTCCACTCGAACCACAGCAAATTGTTTTAAAAATATTTTATTCTTTAGAAAATACAGTGTTGAAGACAGTGTGTTCTGCTTCTCCTCGGCCCAAGCTCAAATCCACACTGCCGCCCAGCCTGCTCCCCCTCTCCCGCACAGGCTACGTCTGCCACGTGGCTATCGCTGGTTCAGCTGCGCAGCGGCAGCTCTTGCGCACATAAGGCAAAAGCCACTTCTAGCACATGACCTGGCAATTTTATCACCATGACCTACTGGTAAAATCTCCAGAAGCTGACAGAATCTTGCCTAGGGCTGCCCCTGCTGCAGCTGTAAAGACTGATAGCACCACTAGAAAATTTCCCCCTAAAAATCCTTAGTGTAGACAAGCTCACAGTACTAGCGATGTGTGCCGTTTGGGTAGGCACTGGAGGACTCATGGGAACCCTGAGAAATCCCCCATCCTCCTACAGAAGAGGCTCATGTCCAGTTACCCTTAACCATGCAGTTGGCAGCTGAGATAGCCCCCAGATCAAAATCAATTCCATTTGGTGCTGGTTGTACCAAGAATTTCACCATTCAGCAACATCTGGATGGCCTATGTGACACCCAGGACAGACTGGA